ATAGATTGGGGTTTACTGACACTTTAAAATCCCCACATATTCGAACACCGCCATCTTTTTTTTAAGACCGGTACGATAGGAGTCGCCCACTCGCAAAAATCTACCGGCTCCAACACGTTTAGCTTAACCAATTTTTCGATTTCGCGCTCTACTTTTTCCTGAATAGCCAGAGGCACTAGCCGTGGTTTGCAAAATTTGGGAGTCGCCCCTTCTTTTAATCGCAATTTTGCCTGTGCTTTTTTAAAGCAACCTAAACTCCCGTCCCATAGCGCAGGGAATTTGTCTACAACTTTACGTGCATCTGTGTTACAACTGGAGTCGAAATAATTAAAATTAGCCAGGTTTATACCGAAAGCATGTAAAAAATTTCTTCCTAGAAGCGGCGGCCCCCCATTTTTAACCACTATTACCGACACCGACGCGGATTTACCGTGGTACTCCACAAGCATTTCACATATGCCAGCTGGCTTAATTGCAACACCATTGTAGGTTTTTAAAATTATATTCGTCGCAGACAGTGACTTACTTTTAAAATATCGCATGTAGGTATCGAATGATATAACACTAAACTCTGAGCCAGTGTCCAGCTCCATCAACAGTGGAACTTTATGCACCATTACTTTAATTTTAATGGGACCATCACCCTTGCTTCGCACTGAAAACAAATTGATCTCACTGTCTTCCACGTACTTAAGTTCAGCTTTTTTAGTAGTACACATTTTTTGCAAATGCCCTTTCTTTTTACATACATTGCATTTATAATTTTTATACCTACAGTTATAACTAGAGTGACCTGCAAGCCCACACACCGTACATGGCTTTTGTTGCTGCTGCTTTGATGTTCCGTTTGACTGTTTCTGATGCTGCTGCTGTTGTTGGTTGTTACCCGGTTTTGCCTTGCTCCGCGATGATTTGCTTTTGTTACTTACAAAGTGCAGAGCTTCTTGCGGTTCTTGCTTGATGTCACTAAGGTCGTTGTGCTTTCGAATGTACTCCGCCGTGTTTGCTATCTCCACTACTTTGGTCATGCTGCACGTTATATTTTCCAAAAATATTTTATCCCGAGCCGGACATTTTTCCAGCCCCATAACGAATTTGTCGCGAATCGCGGTTTCGAGCATTGTGCCAAACTCACAATTGACCGCTAATGACCTTACTCGCGCTGCCCAATCGTTTACAGATTCATTTGTTGCTTTACTCGCATTATAAAATTTATAGCGTTCGGTAAAAGCTGACGTCATCGGTTTAAAATGATTTTTCATTGCAGAAATGCATAACTCGTAAGTAGTGGTGTCGTGTTCAAGCGCTGCTGGGCTTACCAAATTCTGTAGAAGCACATATGCTTTTTCGCTGAGCGCCGTCAGCAATATGGCTTTTTTTCACTTGCACTTCTTTAATGGCGTTCGCAATAAAAAACTGCG